GTACAGATTTACAACCACTTCAAAAACTGAGTGATTTCTGCCAGAACCATGTCAGGGAAGTGGATAGAGTGAAAATCTAGCTCAGTAGTGCATGAGGAAGAAGCAAAGTACATCCCTGTTTCTAGAAACTTGCTCTGAGGAAAAGTTATGACTTTATTATTGCAGCAGGAGGGGTAGAGGAAATATTTTTAATTGTTAGTAAAAAAAATTTTTATTTGTTAACATTGGGTCTGTTATCTTTATATATTTACAGTCCTCCAAAAATTAACAGGGTGAAGTCAATATGAGTTAAATAAGTTTAGGACTGGGAATGCACTTTCCCACAGAAACCTCTTCCACAGGAAATGAAGCAACCTCATAAAAATTTATAAAAACTTATTCGCTGAACATGGTGGCACATGCCTATAATCCCAGTTACTCCAGAGGCTGAGGCAGGAGGATTGTAAGTTTGAGGCCAACTTGGGCAATTTAGCAAGACTCTGTCTCAAAACAAAAAATTAAAAGGACTGAGTAGGTAGTTCAGTGGTTAACCCCCGTGAGTTCAATCATAGTGCCACAAGAAACAAAACTCATCTATTTAATCCACATTGACTCTACAGCACAAGATTGTGCCAGTGTTACTGTAGAATTCACCACAAAGTAGAGCTCCCTTTTGTATAGGATCTGACACCAGGTAGGACCGTAAAACCTATTTCCACAAGGATCCCTCAAAGCCTCATTATGGGGAATGACCAACAACACAGAACCCATTTCAGGTAGACCTGTTCATGATAGACCTCATGTTTCTGGGTTTCTGGGGAAAGTCTGTGGTCTACCAATATCTATCCCTAAGAAAATGTCCTTTCAGTGTTCCAGTAAACCATTGACTGGAGCACATCTCTTATCTTATAGGCTCCAAGTGCTACATTCCTGGGCTTGGGTCCTTGGTGGGACTGTACCTTCACAATGAGGAAGAGGAATGAAGGTGCAGCCTAAGAAGAAGGAAAGAGGACATGGGAAGTAGTATTGACATGATTTGAAAACTTTATGAGCCTAGCACTTTTGAGTCTCATTATAGTCAGGAGAAGTGGGTCCATTTTTAAAATTGAAGAAACAGAGGCATGTCTGCATAATATTGACCAATTGTAGAGACACTTAGTAAAATAAGTGTTATAAGGAAAGCACTTCAGTTGGTGGTGTGAGGGAACCCGCTCAACCCAGCTCATGGGAGCTGATTGTGATGTGAGTTCCCAATACTGTATCTGGTAGCTTGAAATTGTTCACAGCATGATATTGACACAGAACATGGAGCCCATTTTTTTTTGGGGGGGGGTAGCAGGGATTGAACTCAGGGCCACTCAACCACTGAGCCACATCCCTAGCCCCATTTTTGTATTTTATTTAGAGACAGGGTCTCACTGAGTTGCTTAGTGCTTCACCATTGCTGAGGCTGGCTTTTAACTTGCAATCCTCCTGCCTCAGCCTCCAGAGCTACTGGAATTGTGGTGGACAAAGCTTATATATATTTAGTTTCAAGTGAACACAATATCTTTATTTTTATGTGGTGCTGAGGATTGAACCCAGTGCCTCATGCATGTTAGGTGAGCACTCTACTGCTGAGCCACAATTCCAGCCCCACTTGTTTTCCTTTATATAGAATTTTATTGCATGTTTTCCTATAAAGTATACATTTTTATTATGGCTGTCTTAATTTTATGAAAAGAGGATAGGTAATGTTGTATGTAATATCTTGGCACTTAACTTTCTCAGTTATCATTCACGAGACTGTTCAGATTCATCTGATTGATTGGTTCATTCTTTTTGCTCGCTGTCTAAATGTTTTACCAAGAGTATTTTGTACATTTTAATAACAATTTGTTTAAATATTTAAGGATTAATGCAATTATCCAAATGAATATCATGTGTATTATAAATAAGATTTACATAATAGCTCAGTAGGAAGTGATACTGCCCCTTACGTCTTCTGAACAATCTGCATATTCTGGATGTTCTATGTTCTGTCCTACACTTTTTTTTTCTTTCTCTTTCTGATTTCTAATCAATTACTCAAGCTTAATGGAAGTATTATATACAGTAAAACATACCAGGAATAACTCGAAGGGCAGTATAACAACATTCTTCGTGAGTTGTATAAAGTTCACATTTTAAAGATACCAAGGAACTTTTCAACTTTCTACTGGAATATGCTTTGTGAAGCATTATTGATCTTACAGCAATTGAGCATCCAGTACTTTCCCCCACTTCAGTCTACCACAGTTCCCTAACCTACCCACTCCCTCCTACCAAACCAATAGTAATAAATTTTTCAGGTCACAAAAATGATCTTAACTCTTTCATTTGCCATTTAACATGTGTATTTGGTGAGGTACACAGGAATGTTCTTCATTTGTAATTAAAAACAGCATTTGACAGTGTTTTATACAAATCATTACTGAAGAAATGGTTCCTGATATAGATGGCAATAGTGAAGAGAACTGTCTGGAAGGACTTTCTTGGGCCTCTAGACTTTCCCCAGAAACCCAGTTGTTGTAGGCCCAGTCTCATGACCTTCACCCAGGGAAAAGCCTGAGGCCTCCCCAGGCTCCTGAGGCCGCTGTGCTCTGAGGAGACACACCCATGAGACATGGAGACTTTCTGGTTAATGCTCAAAGGTGAGAGCTGGCTCTCTTCCCTTAGAGAAGGCATTTAGGATGGCAAGAGATAAGAAGTTTCTAGGAAGAAAACAAATGGAAAATGGTGAGAAGATAAAGGACCTCAGATAAGAAACAAATGAGAAAAGCATTTTTCTGCCAACATGGTGAAAAGTGAAAGAAATAAGTCAGCTTGCTTTGTAGCCAGGATGAAAAGCAACTAGGCAAAAAGAGGTTTGGCTTTTGCCATAGAGAAGGTTTGTAACAATGAGGGAAAACTCAAGGGTAAGCCATGATATTGGTCCAGGGATGTCAGAACAAGGTCTATGTAGATGACCAGAAAGGACACCTGTTCCTGTGGTGGGATTTCAGAGGCACCCTGAAAGCTTTCTCACCCCCAAGTGCCCTAATTGCTTAGTTATCAACCTTCACAAAGGCCTCAGGCTGAGGGGGATGGTGGGGCAGAGATCTGGCCTGCCCTCCACTGACTAAGCTCTGCCCACAGGCTGCTTCTAGCAGGAGGGGGGGGAGAACACATTTGCAAGGGGTCATTGTGCCCAGAGGAGGCCTCTTTCTGATCACTGTAAAGCTTCCCAATTCCTGAAAGATAATCCATAAAGATCAGGCCATCCCTCCCACCCTGTAGGGGCACCTTTGTGCCCATGGAAGCCTAAGCAGGCAGTCTAGTCTGGTGGGCATAGTGTGGAGATCACGGCATAGCGGAGGCCATGGCTCTACCACTGAGCTATGTCCCAGCCTTCACTATATTTCTTGTTCTCTGCATTTATTTCTCCTTTAACTCTCTGATGTTTAGTAAAGTTTCATTAAAATCTCACACAGTGGGGCAGCTTCTCAGAGCATTAAAGAGTAGAATATGGGGTCATGTTGGAGCAAGGGAACACAGAATGAACGGAGGCTTGTATCATCCTGACTCTGTCTGCCTGCAGATGGTCCCTGGACATTATTTTTATTACAAAAGGGTTATTCCAAGCCCCATCTTCAGAAGGAATGCCTCTTTCAGGGCTCAGTGGTGCTGTGACATCTTGTAGAAAACTAGGAGAAGCAGCAATCAATGATTTCACTCAAAGGTTTCGGGGAAAACTTTTTAAATAAGCAGATACATCACAGAGCAGAATACAAAATTCATAAGGATTTTAAATATACAATACAGATCTAAAATAAAATTTTAAAAAAATGAAAAAAAATTTAAATTAGATGGGTTCAGTGGCACATGCCTGTAATCCCAGCTGCTCCAGAGGCTGAGGCAGGAGGATGGCAAGTTCAAACCAACCTCAGCCAGCCTCAGTGAGGCCCTAAGCAACTCAGTGAGGCCCTAAGCAACTCAGTGAGACCCTGTTTCTAAATAAAATGCAAAATAGGGCTGGAGATGTGGCTCAGTGGTTAAACGTCCCTGGGTTCAATCCCCGGTAATCTAAATATATATTATTAATTACTATATATAATATTGATATTATATATTAGTTAATATATAATAAAGTTTATTAATTAATATATAATTAAACCTATTAATTAATATGTGTTAATTAATATGTGTATTAATTAAATACATTTCTATCTTCTGGAGGGCAGCCCCCATACTTACTCTCAGGTTTTCTTGGAATAATCAGTCATTTGCTCTTTTCTGCTTTTGAGAAAATTTCAACAGAAAAATTTGAGGAACTTTAAAGGCTCCCACAGAAGGAATGAGGTAACCAGGCAGTGAGAACTGTGGAGGACAAGGTTCTCAAGCTCAGTTTGCATGTCTGGAGAGATGGGGCTGGATTATTGAGGTCAGCTGACTGAGATCCTGAAGGGATCCAGCACCTCCTATCAGAGCAAGTTCTGAATTTAAGTGAGTAGTTATGGAGCCAGGTTAGTCCCTGGGACTTCACATGTAGCCTGGCAACTTCAGAATGAGAAAAGACTTATATTCCTTCAGGGCCAGCCTCCTCTTCTTACTGATAGAGGTCCAGATCTTAAAGAGATTAAGTGACTTGCCTGAGGTCATACAGCTCATGGCAAAGACAGGACCAGAACCTGCGCCTCCTATCTCTGAGTGCTCTAATGGTGACACTGGAAGCAAAACTATCTGTTCTTTTGTTCCATCTCCAAAGTTTAAGATAAATGTGTTCTTAGTTATTTTTTATTCCTAGGTTTAAATAAATCATTCAAGGGTAAAAGTTTCTTTGGAATGCAATAGGTAGCGGTCCAAGCATGGATAAAAATGAGATTGACACTGTCCTTCCTTCCTTCCTCCCTCCCTCCCTCCCTCCCTCTTCCTTCCTTCCTTCCTTCCTTCCTTCCTTCCTTCCTTCCTTTCTTTCTTTCTTTCTTTCTTTCTTTCTTTCTTTCTTCTCTCTCTTTCTCCAGGCATTCATTGCTTGCCTGTTACATGCCAGACCTGATACCAATGTGGAAACTATGAGGATGAATTCTTTCCTGTCCCCAAGAAGAGTGGAGGTGAGGCTGGGACCGGCCAGCGGCAAGCCATCACAGTGTCATGATGAGCGCTGGGAGGCCGCATGGGAAGTGCCTGGGAAAACACAAGGAGATTATCTCCCCGCGACAGGGAAGTGGGTCAGGGGAATTCAGAGGTGCCAAGTGATGAAGTAGGAGGGATATACTTAGCGGACTGGAGCTCACCTTTTGATAACCAAGTTCACTCTGCCAGAATTCTCGAAATACTTCGAAGAACTTTGGCAGCATGCTCTTGTGCCGCGGGGCACATTGCCAGGTGTTGTATTCATTGGCCTCTGGTGGACCACACAATGGAAACACTTGTAACCTTTGGAGAGAGGGCATTATGCTGCTGTCGTATGTGGCAAGCCAATCATCCATCACAATTTATCCTTCCCCATGTCCCTCTTCTCTTGTTTAGGCTCTTCCAGCCACATGGCTTCTTCTTCACTGTTGTTCAGACACGCGGAGTACACCCCTGCCTCTGGACCCTTGAACTTGCTCCTCCCTCTGATCACTTCCCTAGTGGAACCCTGTGTTCCTTACTCTATTCCAGTCTCTGCTCGAATGTCCTTTCAGTAGGAAGGGCTCTCCTGACCATCTCAAGAGAATGGCAACATCAGTGTGCCTTGTGTTGAACGGTGGCTCTCCCAAAACATGCACCCACAGACGAATCTCCAGGACCTGGGAAGTGACCTTAGTCACAAAAGGGTCCTTACAGATATAATTAAGATGGTCTCATCCTGGATTGTTTGGGTAGGCTCTAAATCAAATCATTAGCATCCTTATAAAAGAATGATGGCGGAGAAGCCGTGTGAAGATGGAGGCAGAGATTGGAGTGGTGCCAGCTACAGGATGCAGGAACACTGACGGCCATCAGGAGTGACGAGGCCTGGAAGGTTCTCTCCCAGAGTCCCTGGAGGAAGCACGCCCTACCAATACTGTAATTTTGAACTTCTGACCTCCAGATGTGTGAAAGAATAAATTTCTGTTGTTTTTATGCCACCAAGTCTGTGGTAATTTGTTATGGCAGCCACAGGAAATTGACATACAGGCCACCCTGTGGCTCTCTATCCCTTTTACCCCCACCCTTTTCCATTAGCACCTGACATATATTTTATACACACACACACACGTGTGTGTGTGTGTGTTCTAATCTTCAGTATAGACCAGGGGCTTTGCTTTTGTTCACTGCTGTGTCACCAACATCTAGACTAGTGCTTGGCACACAGTAGGTGCTCAGTGGTCACTGAATGAATAAATGGGTGAGTTGTTGAAAGGGATCCTTTCCAGATACTGGGAGTTACTTTTTAAAAAAAAAATTTTGGGTTGTATATGGACACGATATCTTTTTTTATTTTTATGTGATGCTGAGGGTCAAACTCAGTGCCTCATATATGCAAGGCATGCTCTCTACCACTGAGCTACAGCCCCAGCCCTGGAGTTACTTTTTGCATGACTGAGGAGACAACACAATCTCAGTTCTGGTGATAGTGTGCTCAATGGGGAGAGGCCTGGATTTAAGTCATGGCTCTGCCACTTACAAGCTGATGATATGGACTCTGAACCTTAGTTTCATTAACAGCAAAGTAAGGCTGTTCACATCTTTACTATTCAAGGTTGTCATACGAGGTGAAGGGAATGGTATTAATGGAGTGGCTGGCTCAGTGCTTGGGGAGTAGTACTCAGGATAGGTCCCTTTTCTTTCTAGTTCTAAACTTGCAGTGGAGGCAAGAAGACCTATATGAGATGTGACTTTTTTTGTTTGTTTTGGTACCAGGGATTGAACCCAGGGTCGCTTAACCATGGAGCCACATCCCCAGTCCTTTTATTGTACTTTATTTAGAGACAGGGCCTCACTGAGTTGCTTAGGGCCTCACTAAATTGCTGAGGCTGGCTTTGAACTTGCCATCCACCTTCTCAGCCTCCAGACCTGCTGGGATTACAGGCATGTGCCACCATGCCCAGCTAAGTGTGACCATTTTCTCTTGCATCAACCAGCAGTTTCCTCAATCACATTCTCCCAGGGACAGACCTTGCCATTCCTGATAAAGGTAGGATTTGCTTAGTTAAATATAGCAAGCCTTATGATTCTCTGTTGTGAGTCGATGAACTCCATGGCATGTTTGATTTCCAATTTTGGACACTAACTCTTACACTCGCTTCCTCCCATCAACCTTTGTATTATGAAGAGCAAGGTAAAGACCACTGTTTCTATGTGCAGCTTTGTGGTGTTTGCTGGCATCCATCAGTGTTAGAGGGGATGGCACCAGCTTTTCCCTGCTGGCCCTGTAGGGATAGCCAATTGTAAACTTTATATGTATTAGGAGAAAAAGTCAGCTTTTTGTCACTGCGACAAAATATCCAAGAAGAACAACCTAAAAGAGGAAAGATTTATTTTGTATCAGAGCTTCAGAGTCTTCGATCCATGGTCTCTCAGCTCCCTTGCGTTGGGTTTGAAGTGAGGCACAACATCATGGTGGGAGGATATGGCCGGGGAAAGCTGTTCACCTCCTGGTATCCAGGAAGCCGAGACAGAAGAAAGAGCCAGGAACCAGATAGCGTCTCTAAAGAACCCACTTCCTTTAACTAGGTTCTATTTCTTATAGTTTCTACCACCTCTCAATAATCCAGTAAGCCATGGATTAATCCATTGATAAGACCAGACTCCTTATGATCCAATCACCTTCCCAAATATCTACCTCTGAACATTGCTGCATTGGACATCAAGCCTGCAGCACAGGAGTCTTTGCAGGACACTTCATATATAAACCATAACACAGATAAAAAATTGTTTTTTAAAAAAATCATACACACAATACATATACATAGAAATAGGCACAAAGGAGCCCTCTCTTCTCAAAAATATTGGTTGGAAATACCTACAATATTAGAAATGCTAGCAGTTATTATTCCAGGTTCCGGGATTGTCATGGCTCTAATTTTTTTTTCCTGATACTTTCCTTCCTTTTCCAAAATGTAAATTGAAAGTGTTTCTGCCTTGTTTTTCTATCAGATAAAACCCAGCTTTGCGTTTGAGATTTTCTTTCTAGAACGGGCCCAGAATATAAATGCTAAGGTTAGCTTCAGTTCAAGCAACTGGGGATTTCCTTGAATCTTCAGTCTGATCTCATGGAAGTTGTGTTTGTCATTTTTTTCTTTTTCTTTCCTTAAACAATCACACAGACACCAGACTTCTGTGGCAAAGAGGGATAGCAGAGCGACGATTGTCGTCAAGAATCTTAGCCAGGATTTTTCTAGCCGGCTCCTCATCATTGCAATTTTGTTGGTTCCTTTGAAAAGAACTTTTTCTTGAGGTCTAAGGCAGACTTAATTTAAAGCATTGATCTCATCACACTTTTTTAGCTTCTGGTTAAAAATAGAACATCTCTTATAATTCCCAAGGAAAATCAGTTCTGTCAAATCTCATTGCTAATTCATAAAGGGCATTTGACTGTTCAAATGGAAGACTGTGGGCATCCAACGGATATTTCCAATTCTGTTGTTTCTTAAAGGAGTTTAACACTCATCTTTGTCAATGGAGTGGACCAGAACCAGTTAAACCTAATCCAATGGAGATAAATTTGATTTTGCATGAATTAGAGCAGCATTTGCAAAAAAAAAAAAGCTCTTGACAGAATGTTCCATTCGTATCCAGTGTCAGCCTGTTTTTGCTTTTCTTTTAAGGTTAAGAAGAAAAGGGTTTAAATCACACATTGTAGGCAAATGTTATGTGCTTTAATGTGGAGGGAGCATAAGTTGTTATTATGATAATGTTAATAACGCTCTTCATGTATTACATTTCGGTTGACATTTAATCCTAATTGAGAAAAACCTAAAATTAATCTTTGTAAGAAACAAGACCAGAGTAGCTAATCAGGTTTGGAAGTGGGACTAATGGTACTATAATCAGATTGATGAGCTGTTAAATATCTGATGTGAAAACCATGTCGTGAAGTGATAAGAAAGAGTCTGTGCAAAAGTCCACTTGAATTTGCCCCTTGTCTTTTATTTTGCAGTTTGTTCAAAAGACTTATTACCTCAGCTTCAAAGCTCAGATCCAAGATATTTACCAGCTGGTAACTTTTATTTTTTAATTAGCTCAGCTTTCCCTAGGCAGACACAAAAGGAGTGGGTGGGGGGAAGAATTATTCTTTGCTCTCTATCTACCTGGGGTAAGATGTTACTGGTTTTATTTAGGTGAAAGGATGAACCATGAAGCTGGTCACCCATGACAATGATACCACACTTTGATGACTCTGATATTTTATAGCTAATTCCGGAGTCTGTTTATGGTTGGATTGTTTCACGTATGGGATGTGGAATAGAGAGAGAGAGGGTAGCAATGAGACTGGGAACTTGGTAGGATGGAACACAGTTGAGTATCAATTTTCCACAAAGATTAAATTCTTCCCACCATCCTTAGACTGGGAAGGGCTGTGTCTGAGGTCTTGTTGTCTGAATGTCTAGTCCCTAGGATCTGTAGAGATCCTCACAGAGGTATGAAGAATACAAGTACTAGTTCAAGTTTTTCTTGTATTCCTTAAGAGACAGAAGTCAAAGATAGGTATCCCATGGAAAGACTCTAGGAAATGATATAAAGGACCATCCAGAAAACCCTAAGACCATCCAAACCCAGGACAAAGGATCGTCAATGCCATCAATTGGATGACACTGATGGAGTTAACAGCCATGTGCTCAGTGCTTCTGTCTTTGTTCCAGAGCAGGTTGTTGAAGCAAAAGTGTTGTAACCTCAGATTCAAGTTTTTAAAAGAATATTGGGGAAGAAAGAATTGAGAAGCCAGACTTTATTAAAATTAAAAATGTCTGCTCCGAGAAAGACATTGTCAAGAGAAAGACTCATAAGCCACAGATTAGGAGAAAATATTTGCTAAACACATGTCTGATAAAGGACTGTTATCCAAAATATACCCCAAATTCTTAAAAATGAACAGTAAAAAAAAAAAAAACACAAACAACTCAATGACAAAATGGAGCTACGACCTTAACAGGACATTGTCAAGAGAAA